ACAATGCACCATCCAGGTTTCTTGCAACTGAAGTTTTTTTTGTTTTTCTTTGGCTGTTCCCTCCTAAAACAATACGCACATAATTCTTTAACCCGAAGTGTTAAAAACTATATTTTTCCTCTAGCTTTGAGACGAAGTTAATTTAGGGATAGAATCCCTTATCTCGAAATAAGACTTTTTTCGAGATCAGTGGATAGAATAAATGTCAAGCCGACATGTTTATTTGTACTTGGATAGAGTATCCAACACTGAGCACTTGCGCTCTTCGTTTTAATCTGGAGTTAAAACGCAACATAGAAGTTGGCATAGTTCAACACCTCCATTTTTTCGTAATATATTATGACCCACGTAAGTCCATCTTTGCTCACATTTCATGAACTTCGAGATAGGAGCGAACTGCGTCACTGTAAACATGATACTGGAAATTGCAAGAATGACTATAGTGAGCTGGCGACTTGATTTGTACTTATGCGTACTTTCTTTCGACTGAGCAATTTATCACAACCCATTTTGATTTTACCAGTTGACCTAATTCTTACTTCACAAAAATTGTCTCTTTTCAGAAACATGTATGCACACATGAAAGATGTCGAATCGTTGATTTATCATTATTTTGCTGCTCATGTAAAAATACAGTTCCAAGGTTCACTTGGCCATGATGAAAGTTTGTGTTGGAGTTGAATACACGTGTTTTGAACAACAAAATAAACCTGAAAGAATATCTGAGAGCTCCTTTATTCACATTTCCTATCAAGAAGCACTTGATCGAAAAGAGCAGGGTCAGCTTCATTTGATTTTTTTACAATATATTTTGTGGTTACGAGAAAGATACAATTTATGTCAAGGTTGGCTTCTTCACTATAATGAAAATACTACCCAAGTCAAAAGAAACTCTAGTTCTTAACTTCCCATCAAAGATCGATCAAGATCTGCAATGCTTCTGCCAGAAATGTGAGTCCAAGCATCTTCCATGTGCGATACAAATATTTTTTATAATACCTGCATGTGTTGGATTGAATGTGGAAAAATTCATACTATATTAGATGAATGATGAGAGACATTTAGTCTAAATAACGTCCAGGGCCTTTTTAACTAGATAACTCCACCCGTTGACGGATTTTCTCCCCCATCTCCCGCAGAGTAAGACATTTTTCCATTACAAAACCATAAAAAGTTCAGGAACATGTGAAACGGGTTTTTGCAAATTAACGTTAATGTAAGATAGAAAAAGATAAATGACCGATAAGTTGATCCGTTTAATTCGTATAAATTGAAGTAAATCCCTCGCTTGGATTAATTTTCTTACTTCAGCTAGAAATGTTGAGAGTGTATCGTGCAATGTTACATTATATATTATTATATATTATATCATCATCATCATCATCATCAGCCTGTCACGCCACTGCTGGCGGATGGCCTCCACATCTTTCTCCACTCTTCACGGTCTTGGGCTCTCTGGATCCACATGCTGCCCGCTCTCTGCTCGATGTCATCTCTCCATCTCCTTTTTGGTCTTCCCTTGCCTCTTTTCTTGTCCCACGGGGTCCATTCAGTTGTTTTCTTTGCCCATTCATGATTTTTCATTCGGGCTAGATGTCCTGCCCACTTTCCTTTGGCTTCATTAACTTTCTCGTTGACATTCCTTCACTTTTGTTCTTACTCTCAGGTCTTCATTCCGGATCTTATCTCTCCTCGTGACACCGAGCATTGATCTTTCCATGCTCCTTTGGGTGATTGCCAGTTTCTCTCTTTGATGGTTGGTAAGTGCCCACGTCTCTGTTCCATAAGTCATTGCTGGTAGTATGACAGTGTCCATGATCTTCCTTTTGAGACACATGGGCATTCTTTGATCTCTCATGAACATGCTGTACTGTCCAAATCTCTTACAAGCTGATGTTATTCTCTCATCTATTTCTCTCGCCATCTCATTTCCTGGTGTTAGTAGTCTTCCCAAATACTTGTACTCTTCAACCTCTTCCAGCCGTTCTCCATCAATCGATATTCCTTTTCTTCTCCTTTTCTTCGCTATTTCATTGCACATGATCTTTGTCTTCTTTTTGTTCATTTTCATTCCATCTTTCCTCCCTTCTTCGTTCAGATCGTTCAAAAGTTTGCTGAGGTGTTCTTCCTTTTCAGCAAATAAGATGATATCATCAGATGATATATTATATGTTATATATTATATAGACAGTCGGCGGACAACCTTAGGGATACGACTTCGTATCCGCTTACGGGAGGAGTCTGCTTATATAACGGAGTTCTATAAATATAGTAAGATAACAGCGAATTGGCAGTGTCCGCTTACAGAAGGTGTTCGCTTCCAAAAGGTATCTTGTCCGTTAGTATAGAGGTCCGGTTTGACTACATGTGTATCGTCTCTCTCCATCATTTCGCCCCTCACTGAGAAATTATAGAAAAAGGCCCTATAAATGTCCCTCTTGAATGGGACATTGAGAACTAAATATCCCTCCTCCCTGTAAAGTTGGGAGTGCTGTACGTTGGGAAATAGCCTCCGTTGAAGCAAAAGAAAGCATGGTGTTCAATCGACTTTCTTACAAGCGGCAGAGCAAATTTTTTTATGAGCGATAACTACTTACGATTAAAATACCTAGCATGGTCTTTTCTGGTGTTCTCGTAGATATCATGAATTTCATACGCGCAAACCTTTGGCTACTTTAATGTTTCTTGAAAGTTGAAAAAAGACCAAACATATGCCATTAATTTTACAACTTAGTCAAATCTCAAAAGTTTCCCATTGGGAGCTGCCCATAAACAATATTTCTATAAACACACGCTGATTTTCCCGATGGCCGTCCACTGTATGTAGTCGGACATCCACATCGTTATTTGTTTTTGTATATTACATAACATTGCATGGTCATAATAAAAAACGGGAGTATACAAGTGCTATTTAATCAAACAATACATCCCCCGTGCTAAAAAGGCATGTATATGATCAGAAACTTAAAAGTTATTATGCTAAAGTGAAGAAGTCACATGCAGCTTGTCGATTACATACGTATATTGTGTTGATTTCGATTGAGCATCAGGAAATAACTGATCAATAATAACCAAAAATAGCCATAAATATAAAAGGTTATAGCACGTTGACAGCAGTTTAGCAACAAAATGATAAAAAATTACAGTTAATATATGAGCTAAAGTCTATTGCCTTCAGGGACGAAGTTGACTGATCAAAGATAACGTTTATCGAGTTAAAGTAAATGGTTTGAACCTGGGAGTATCGCTACATGTTTGTAAATGTAGATCGTCCAGGTTGGTATAGTCCTGAGAAGGACTGTTTTTGTTGTTGTTGAATGACGTTTCGACAACCTTAGCGGTAGTCATCTTTTTGACTCTGAAGGTGACTACCGCTAAGGTTGTCGAAACGTCAGTCAACAACAACAAAAACAGTCCTTCTCAGGACTATACCAACCTGGACGATCTACATTTACAAACATGTTTATCGAGTTGCTATTTATAATGCAGGTTGATGAGAAGGCAATTCTTCTAGAGACTAATTGCTTCACATAACAATGGCAAAGAAACTTAAATATAACGACAGTTTATATCTTTCTCACATTTTATTGTTGCCCACCAAACTATGGCATCATAGAAATAGCCACGAGCGTACTTGCGGTTATGATTTCCTCATTTGTTCAACGTATATGACGACGCACTATGCGACATGTCAGCTATATACTGTTGCATGGTTATAGCATAACGAAAGGAATTCCATATCAATGATAGAATTCCTGAATCATAAGAGAACCACACACGCATTTTATTTATTGATTCTTGAATCTATTACAAAAGAGGTTGTGTATTTTTATGATTAGGGAATTCAGCCAATGAATCAAATTTTTATAAGAGTGTCAAATGATCTATTTATTTTTGCACTAAACGTTGTAATATACAAATAATGTTGCCCCACAAACACGATGCCGAGTTGATGTCATATATTTTTGTTCGTTTTTCAATATAAGAAACGAACATGGGCAACATTTTTGCAGATAGGAATAGCTAAATTAATGAAAGGATTCGCGTTTGAAAGTGTATGATTATGAGTTAAGAGCTCAGTTGCCAGATGACTGACAAAACTTCGTACTTCTTGACCATCGCAGAGCCACAGGCGTCCAAAATATATTCAGAGGATCAGCTTTTAATGTTAAGATATATTTACATTCCAAACTGTCACAAAAAAACAATTTCTTCAGTAAGTTGCATATTTTCAATTGAAAATCGAGCTGTTTATATTGTTTTTTTAGCCAAACTAACCCTGAATGGTCACGGTGATGCAAAGACCAGAAATATCAAACCTTCGTAATGAAACTATAGACAATTAAATCTTGTGGTAGATATGTCTGACCTGATCTAAAAATGTATAAAATCACTTTTGCCACCCATTTAGATTGATCTTAGAAAATTGTTCGTGCTGTTAAGATAAATATTCTCTCATACATGCAACATATGTGAAATTTCAGCGCGCACCAAAAAAGTATTTGGCAAACTCATTTCATTAAGAGATTTTCATGGAACCATAAATGGAATTATGGTCGCTTTGTACATATGTTTGCAGAAACTTCTGATGAAATTGAAAATCAAAACTTGCCATCCGTTGGTCAGGACGTCCTTTTAGAGTTTGCTTTAAATGAAAACACATAAACTATGGTGAGCTTTTGGGGTAAACATTGAAAAAACCCAGCGAAAGGCAAGTGTTCGAAGCAGATTTTAAAATGGCTCTTCAAAGAAGAGCTTTCTTGCTCTATAAATAACAATATCTTTGATTTTTGTGTACTTAATGCTCTTAATGTTGTTTATCGCCGTTAAATTCGTTGCGATTGCAGATCATTTGACTGTTTTTTTCAAAACTGAGGTCAAACTTAGGTCATCGATATCCAGCTTATCTATAGCATCAATTCAACTGATGAGCAATTATAATTAAATTACTCGTGTTAAGCTTGTTCAGACAGGAAAGTGTGACATTTGGGTATAACAGTTTGCTCAGAATTGACGCACGTTTTTAGTGTTGAATAGACACGCTTGCTTATTACCGCAGGAAGCTTTGAAGGTTTTTCACAAGAGTCAATGTATTCTGGTTTATATTTTCTTCTCCTTACAGTGAACATCTGGGGATTAAACGAAATATTCTGACATTGACTTTGGTACAACATACGCTCTATTGTGAACTGAATCACTGAATCAAGTGATCAAGTAAACCGAAGGTAGGATAGTTGCTATATATTGTTTTGTACATGGTAATTGAGCGTACAAAAAGTCTCTGTCTCTGTCGCAGCACGAATTCGTTGCCAAATCTGCATATATGTGTGAAATTGTTTTGTACCATATTTGCATGAGTAACGAACCATTCTTATTGATAAACAAAGTAATTGACATTAGTAATATGTATAAACATTTTGGCAAATTGTAAATTAATGGAAGCGGTAATTTTTAAGTAGAGCGCGTAGCTGCGTTGAAAAACCTTCGCAGTCAATTTAATATGACTGTACTTATTAAGTTTGCGCGAATTAGTGTTGCGTGTATGAAGATGACTTGTGGCTTTCTTGTTGATTAAATACTTGCGCATATTAGAAAGCATTACCCACAACTGATGTTGCACGCTAATTGTGAATGCGCAACAGTTCCGTGGCAAATGTAAATAAAGCGTGCAGTGGAAACTGCCTACCGCGGCTTTATGCTCAATTGTTTCAATGTGAAGGCTGAAAAATAGGAAAAGATCACGCATAAGCACATCGTGGTTGTCAAAGATAAAGTTTGAATCGTATGTTTTTGTATGTCATCACTAAAAAGTGCATCCAAAACTTGAAAATCTGATATAATCCCTGCTTGAACTTATGAAAACACATGCATCTTCCATATATGTTCATCGCGTATCTAAAAATCATAACTAATCATTTCAAAAAAATTAACAACATTATTTAGCGAAAGTTATTCCCTAAAACTAAAACGCTATAGGTCCTTCTCTCAGGTCTCCATTCTCAGGTCTTGTCGTTATGTCTTATTGTTTTGATATAAGACTTGCTAATGGAATTTAAATTAATGGCGTACACAGAAACAACGTTCACAAACTAAAGCATGTATAATCACACGTTTTAACGTCGTACTGAGAAATATGTGAAGACATATGTACATAAACTAAAGCCTGTGCATTACATAGTATCATGAAAGTCTCGAGAATTGGTGTATTTGCGCTTGTTTTTCATATAGAATTTGGACAATGTAGCTCAATTTGGACAATGTAGCTTTTCACAGTCTTCAAAACGTCCTTACGTGAATACTGAATACGAGTTAGCCTTTCTCGACAACAACGGGAATTGGAATGACATGGTGTCAATGACGCGCTCTCTTATCTTGTTTCCTACGCTATATCTTTCGATACTTAAGACAAGTGTGAAGCATGATTAAGCATCCGTTGTAAGAATAGAGTTAAGTAAAATACTACAAAAATATTTTGATAAGGATAATGCAAACTTCGTCCCAAAACATTCGCCTTAATTCCAAAGTGATTAATGCGTAACAAATAGCTGGCTTTTTTTTCTAATTTGTGACTTCCAAAGATATGGCTCGCAAACACGACAAGTGCATGTTTTTCATTGTTTATGTGATTGTGGAACTGCAGGGACTGGACTGCATATAAAGAAGAAAACGCGAGGAATTTTTATTGATGAATGGCTATAATTAAATGTTTGACAGTAATTTAGGCAATGGATGGCTTTCACACGTGAGCTACCTTACAACAGAATGAACCCATTAAAGCTGTTGATTTTTTTCATATCTATTTTTATTCAATAATTGCCGATATGCTGCACGTATATATGTTATATCAATATCGATATGTTATACGTTATCGGTATTGATATAAGGTTTTCTGGAATGCAAACAAAAACATACATTAGTCAGTGGTAAACCATCACAGGCTTCATTCAACGACATTTAATTATTTCGTTTTAAACGGGGGTATGACGAGGGAGGTGAATTGAACGCACGCATAAGTTTATTCGATGTAACGTTTTCTTCTCCCGGTTGAAAACATTTTTTAGATTCTCACACGATGCGCGGTAAAATTACAAGGGTTTATAGAAAAATTGATCCATTTAAAGGCAGCAAAAGACATCCCATTTTTATTTAGAAATTTGACTTCACCATCTTTTTCCGATAGTCCAAATCCCGCACGCAATATCAAAAATATCTGCTCACATTGAGCCATAGATCACGCTACAGTTTAAGCTAATCCATATAATCTCGCATGTGTGAAAAATAGAGAATGTGTATCAAGTTACTATTTACAGTGATTTCAACTGGCAGAAAAATGGGGGTTTTTTCGTTCACAACAGTCCTAATCCCTAAACGACGTCTTTAAAAATTAAAGTTGATTTGCGTTTAATCCTTAACGAAAATTCTCCTTTATTGTCGTCATCATAGAGATTCATGAAAGCGAAACGCAAAAATGCATAAAACCCGACTTTCATCAAACATGTTTTCAGTTCTTTTGAAAATAAAAGTATTGTACAGTTAAGTTTAGCACTTATGTAATGATAAGATGCACACAAAAGTGACGCTGATCAATATGCTTTCATGATTTAGCTCAAAGAAACAATTGAAAATGCACCTACATTATCATCATTAGATAGTTTATAGGGCATGGCAAAAAGCGAAACATTTTGTTATTTCTTTTTTATGTCGAGCTTTTAATCATTGTACTCACTTTTCAGCTTTGGCTATCATTGTATCGAGGCATCTTAAATTGATTGTCGTCATTTCGGTAGACTGGTGACAAAAACGTCATTATCAGCAAACACTTGGATTTGCAACATATATATATACGATCATTACAAGCAATGCTCTTTATATTTTATCGTGATCATCGATCGATTTTAATGTTGGAAGTTCATTAGAATTTAGACTAATTTTAACTTCCATCTTTCTATCAGTCTTTCTTTAGTCTTCTCCAAACAATGTCGCTCGTATCATTTCATGAAATATCTTTTTTTTCATTGGATCGTTACCACGGTGGAATGTCGAATTCCGACAATATTAGCTAATAGTATCAAAGTCTTTATTAAATACATTAAAATCTTTATATAAATAAATTAGTATTTAACTGTAGGAGTCACTCAAGGTCCAACCTCATCTTGTCAAATTTACCATGCCAATGCCATTAGCATTGAAAGCTCTTTTCTGATTGATTATATAAAGTTAATAATGCATTGCATCTTCCTCTACATTTACACACCATTACTTCAACAACTCCTTATTTTAAAATAAATTGGATTGATACTCGTCCTGTTTGACGATAAACGTACATCTCGTTACACGCTCATCATTTAATTAGCTTTGACGGCGCCGAGGTTTTTGTTTTCGAAGTTAAATATTATCTTCAAAGTCTAATGGGTTTTTAAAATCAAATTTACATTTTCAACACATAAAATCTAAGCCCTCGAGGTTTGCCTTTTAATACTTCGAGATAGCCAATAAAAGTTATAAATATCCAGAGAAATTTGCCCGATGGTGAGGCCTGGGGAAAAGGAAATTGGTTTGAGTAGCGGGGAGTTGTTTGCAAGATCAAGTTTCTGATTTCTTGTGGTTCGTCAATGAAAACGTCAAGATATAGACGAACATAAACACAAATCAAGAATAAAAAGAAAGAAAACTTTAGCTTTTAGAGGAGATCGAATCACTGAGTTCCGTGATGTTTTATAATTTCAAACTTCAGATAATTTGATAAAATAATCTAGCCATGCATATCATCATTTGCTACACGACTGTATATTGTCACAATTTAAATTATTTATTTCTGCTTTTTTGATTGTGAAATATATGAAGAAAAGAAAGAAAAGTCAAAGGATTTATAATTATGACATAAGAAAAGTAGAACGAACCATACGTGTGTGTTAGGATATATCTTCACATTGAGTCACCAATTTAAGCAGACTGATTCTTACTCCTACATCCACGCATTCATGATTGACGAGAAAAAAAGAGAGATATTCCCTGTTAATACGTTTTTGTATAAGTTCATCGCAGGAATGAACTATTAGCGCAAAATGACTCAAAAGTATTTCGGATTGCATATGAGCTAAAAAAGTGACGTAGCCATGTTTACAAATACAAAACTTTGGCGAAAAACAGTTTTTACACCATTCAATGTTAGAGAAAGTTTGATATTTTTTTATGTGAATGAAATCTAAGGTCGCTGCTTTGCGAGTGTTGATTCGGTCAGTTGATAAATAACAGCTTTAATTGATGTTTTCTATACTACCAAATTCCTCACTTTCCTTTATAAGCAATTTCTAGATCAGATATGAGAAGCCAAATTAGTTAATAGCAACGTTTTTCTTCACTCAATTATAAATGATCAACAATCACCCAGTGAAAAATGGTGAAACTGTCATCCCATCATCTTATCGTTGGTAATTGATACTTACACAATTTCTCGATCGTTTCAAGGCGTGAGAATGAAAACTATTTAAAAAATCAAGGCAGCTGAATGCCGTAAATAGTTTTGACTTCCAGTTGCATGAGAGGATTGTATTTCTAAAATTTTCACATTCGGAAGAAGATTAGTTGCTGTTATTTTTACAATAATCTGCCTCAAACTGGAAGAGGATTGATTTTTAGAGCTATATTTCGGGAATAAGGCAGTTCTTTCCAAATAATGTCATACACTAAAAAATTCATTGCTTTTTACTCACACAAATGTGTGAGCATAGCCTATAACTTCCATCGACTTTTTTCGGGTACATTTGAAGCTATAATTTGTCGCCATAGTGAATTAGTGTTGTGCTCAGTGCCGAACTTTATAAGAAATTAATGCTGTTTGAGAGTGAAAGAAGCGGAAATCTTTTATTGAAACTGAAATTCTGTGCATTTAATAACATGTAACGAAGTCTTCTTTAAAGTGCTTATGAGACGTAATTTCTACTTTTACTTTTATTGAACAGAAATTTTAAAATGACAGTAGATATTTTAAAACACTTTATGCACATATCTCTTTTCATTCTCGAAAGCCTTGAGTTTTTTTCAAGTCATTTTATTTGTCTTCCTTATTGTGACACATTTGTCACACAAGAGTATTAAAGGTTAATATTTTTGTTGAAAATGTCCCAATTTGTAGAACCAGTAATGGCATATTGCTTGATAAGAATCTGAAATTGTCAAGACTACTTTCTGATATTTACTTCAACCAGGCAGAGATGTCTTCGTT